TCAGAGGTTTGTCCCCAAATACATTTACGATCATTAAGAAAACTTTATGATATGAATTAAGAAAACTAATTTCACTGGTTTATGATTCTTAAAAACAAGCAATCAGTAATCCAGACATATACTGGTGTTGGTTTGCAGATTGTATTGCACATTTTCTCAAGTAGTATGAAGAAATGTCATTAGTTCATTATTATCGTGGACCATCTGGATCACAATGGAACAACTGAAGGTTAAAAAATAATGTTAGTTCTAGAATTAATAGCACATGGTGGGTATTGAGACTCTAAAAGTAGCGAGGATATTTAAACAGTCCTAACTGTAAAATAACTATTGTAGGCTTGATGAAAGTAGTTTTTGGTATATGAAGGAGCGGTGTGCACTTGAATTACTGTACTACTGATTGTTATTGCTGCCCATCATAGTGCCTATTAATAATAATCAACCTGTCAGATTTTGGCAAAACTGGAGCTGTGAATATTCCAGTATTTGAGTGTTCCTATCACTACTGCTGTGACTATATACTCTTAAAAACCTTCCCTTCTAAAATATTTATATCCATTAAGTCTAAATAATTTTTTTGGTTTTTAGTCTGATAAGATTGAGTGTATGTCTATATATATCCATGTGTATGTACATATGAATTTTATATATATACATACACACAATACTATGTCAGACTTAAAGATAAATATCTTTAATTCATTGTATATAAATATTAGTTTAATCTTGCATAAATTATTTAAGTAAATAATTAGTAAAGCAGCCAAATTTTCTACATTGTATGTATACTTCCAAGTTTTTACCATCTCAAAGCTACAGATTGGATAGATGCATATATACTATATATACTGGCAATTGAATATACTTTAGAATCATTAAGCCTTCTGCCAGTCCTTTTGTTTCATGTTTTCATAGTTAATGTATTCATTGAAAAATGAAATGATGCTATGATTATTTTGATACTTAAAATTCCCAATCATTCATTAGCCATAATCAAATAAGATCCAGTTTAAAACTCTGGTATTAAGACATGTATTGCCATGTATCTTATAAAATAAGCTACTATTTTTATTTGTGCAATATATATTTTATTGTCATTTGTGACATAAGTGGAGCTGCAAGTGTACATGGTCTTCAAAATAATAGGATCCTTGCCTTGAAGACATTAAACTCTTAAGGCAACCGGATGTTAAAAGTCAAAAATGAGCATTGAAGTTAGTAATCAAAATTACTAGTTCACTGTATAATTCTAAAACACTGATGATG